TGTACATAAGGTTGCTATGGGTCGGTACTGACTCGATGGCACCTAACAACAACAAAATGTTAACATGACTAATCGTGACTGTCACAATTGTTAAAAAAAAACAAACTAAAGGGAGCCTGAAAAGATACACATGAAACTGTAACAATGCTTCTCTCTAGGTAGTGCAAGATTCCTGTGTTTTCTGAGACACTAATACTTTTAGCAGCAGTCAAGAAATCAAACAATATGTTGCATTAGGCAAATCTGCTGCACAAAATCTTTTTAAAGTGTTAAAGAGCAAAGATGTCAGCTTGATGACTAAGGTGCATCTGACCCAAGTCATGGTATTTTCAGTAACTTCATATGCATGCAAAAGCTGGACAGTGAATAAGGAAGACCATAGAAGAAAGAATTGATGCGTTTGAGTTATGATGTTGGAAGAGAATCTTGAAAGTGCTGTGGGCTGCCAAAAGAACAGATTTGTATTGGAAGAAGTGCAGCCAGAGTGCTCCTTGGACACCAGGATGGACAAATTTCGTCTCTCATACTTAGGACAATTTGTCAGGAGACACCAGTTTCTGGAGAAGGATTACCATGTTTGGTAAGGTGGAGGGTCAGAGAAAAAGAAGAAGACCCCCAGAGAGATGGATTGGCAAAGTGGCAGCCTCAGTGGGCTCAAGCATGGCAGCGTCTGTGAGGTTGGCCCAGGACTGGGCAGTGTTTCATTCTGTTGTGCACAGGGTTGCTATGAGTCGGTACCAACTTGATGGTACCTAACAACAATACTACTTTTTACCTTAAGATGGACAATAACAATAATAAAGGTTTCCTATGGTGTGGCATGGAGTCCTGGTGTGGTACTGCAGGATAATGTAGACCGCAAGATCGGTTTCAACCACAAGGTTGGCATTTCAAACTCACCACCTGCTCCTCAGAAACCCTGTATGTGGTCTGAGTAGGAAGTGACTTGATGGCACTTAACAACAACAATGGTGTGGCTCTGTAGAATAAGCATTGGACTGTTTACAGCAACTGCAGCAGTTTAAATCCACCAGCCGCTCCTTGGAAGTCCTATACAACGTTGCTATGAGTCAGGACCAATTTGATGGCACTCAGCAGTAACATGTAGCACATAAACTTTTACATTTAATAAAGTTTAAAACAGCACAAATTTCAAATGGACAAAGTTTCTAACTACATGTTTGAGTAACTTTTTTTCTGATTATAACAAAATGTATGTTCCCTGCACATTATGAGGAAAACAGCAAAAAGCACACATGTTCTCACATCCAAGGATAATCATGAATGTGAATATACCCACTCTTCCAGCCTTTTTACTATGCAGATTTATGCCAATTGTTTTTACTTTTACAAAACTGTAACTGTATACAGGCAATTTTATGATTTGCTTTTTGACCCAAACAATTACACAACATTTAGCTACATTTTTGTTGTTGTTAAGTGCCATGGAGTTGCTTTTGACTCATAGCATAAACTCATGGAGATAGTAATAATTCATTTTTGGGGGAAACAAGAACAATAATCTTATTTAAAAATAAAGTAAATCCTTGGAAATATGACCTGGCGACCTGTGTAGTGCAGTTGTACTCTGCACAGGTGGGGTTGCCATGAGTCAGAACCCACTGGACAGACACTAATGGCAGCCCAAGGAAGCATGAGGGGACAAGGCTGTCAACTACACTGATGAGATGATGTTGTTTTTAACAAAACAGAAGCATAAATAAATATAGCATTTATTTCCAAAATTAAAATTAAATAAAGAGAATCCAAAAATAACATTCTTCCTTAAAGGATTCCTTTTCCATACTAAAATACTTCATAAACACTATTTGATGATTCTTTTCAAAGGAAGCTGAAAAACATGACATCAAGCCATCCCTTCCCATGATACTCTCTACCTCTCACCTGGGTTCCATTATCCACTGCAGAACTCAGATGCTACACTCACAGTGATGGGGTTTATTAGGGAAGTGAATAGGTTACAAGACAGAAGCAGAAAATGCACAGGGCACAGTTCTATGAGTTGGAACAATCTCTCCTCAGTCATGTCTATAGGCAGGCCTCTCTGCCTGGCCAACATTACAAACTCTTTTAGCTCTGTTGATAAATGCCCACAGGACACACCACTCCTCTATAATCCTCAGCCTGAAGGTACTCGGCTCTAGCTCTGTGGTTTAGCAAACCTAGATCCCCCACTTATGTACCTGGAGGTACCGCACTCTACAAAGCACACTTCCTGCCCCAAGGCACTCAGCTTCACTTGCCTCGGGCTCTGGGTCTTGGTTCTGCTGCTGCTGCTGCTCCTCTGTCACTCCTCTGGTGTCACAACTTTCTGTCCCTGGTTTGAGGAGGCTCAATGTATGGGGATCTCAGGGTCTAAAGCATGAGCTTCTCTCCTGACACTTCATCTTTGATCATAGTGAGATTTCCCCCCATCCTGCTTCTGAGATGGTTCCTTTTATACTCATGATAGAGGTTCAAGTTTTTACAATTATAATGAACTCTACTAACATCCGCAGCTGAATCATGCCAGCCTATCATTATTTTCTTCCACCTTCTCTTACTCAGGCCCAGCAGGGCAGAAATGTTGTTTGGTGGGAGTTAAACACCACAGCTAGAAGAGACATTAGGTTAATACATTACACCATAGAAAGGAAAGGACAAATCACTCTAGAATTTAAGACTTTGATGGGAAGAGAAATACTTCTCAAAATACACAAGGGAATCAACCACCAAGTAAGTTTTAGAAGCTCTTTTTACTACATATGAGGAAGCTTCAAAAACTCTGTGGAAAAATTCCAGTATCTTTCAATTCCATTTTTTCATGAACTTTGAAGCCCCCACTTTTGGACATTACACCAGCAGTCCGCTTTGAAACTAACGTTCTGAATTGACTGTACCTTCTTTATATTCTTCTGAAATTCCTTATGACGCACAGGTAGCGGATAAAATAACTGCTGCACACTGACTGTGGTCCCTCTCGGTCGTGGGTAAGGGGTCTTCTGAACAAGCTTCCCATTGTGATCAAACACCAATCGAGTCCCAACTTTGGCCGACGTGTGACAGGTAGAAATGGTTACGTCACTGTAAGAAAGCACCAGGTGTGGAATGTTCAGTTAGAGACTCGCAGGTGCTAACAGTCATGAACTCATATGCTTACTATCTTTTCTCTCAAAACCCTCTGAGCAAAAAGAGATCCTTCTAGAATAATCAAGAGGGTTGAAACGGGTGAAGTTAGCATAAAATCTGAGGGTTAGAAACCAATAGAGAGTGAGACAGGAATTCTGGAAACTTCTGCTTTGATAAATTTATAAATTAAACAATGAGGATTTATTTATCAATTTTGTTACAGCTATTCTAATAAAATTTTTTTCCCCATACTTTGGCACTAGAGGATAGAACTGGCAGATGGGAAGCCACCAGCACAGAAGACATGACGCCAAGAGGACTGAAGCCCTCACCCACTGTACATAATGGGGACCAGAACCATAAGCCCATTCCCTGTCAAGGGAAGGAGGGTCTGCAGGCGTCACCCAGTACCCCTGCCAAAGCCCATACTTAAGTTGCTGCCCTGGAAAAATTAATAAATTTTTTTCTTAAATCAAAAGATACTGTAGTTCATGTGTATAAGTAATTACAAAATTTTAGAATCTGTTCAATAAACTAAATTACTGGAAACCAAAGCCACTGCCACTGAGTCGATTCCGACACACAGTGACCCTACATCATATGGTTTCCGAAGCTGTCCATCTTTATGGGGACAAACAGGCTTCTCTTTCTCTAGAGGAAGGGCAAATGGATTTGAATCGCCAAGCTTGTGGTTAGCAGTGCCACAAAAAAAAAAAAAAAAAAAAGACTGGTTCAATATTTTTTCTAAAAATGGAAATAAAACCAGTTGCCATTGAGTCGCTTCTGGCTCATGACAACCCCTCAGGTGTCAGAGTTGCACTGTGCTCCACACGGCTTTCTCAGTGGCGGATGTTTTTTAATAAGTAGATTATCAGGCCCTTTGCTTCCAAGACATCTCTGGGTGGAGTTAAACCTCCAACCTTTTGGTAGCAGCTGAGCACATAACTATTTGCATCACTCAAGGTAACCATGTACACCAATCAAGGACTCCAAAAGCTACTTATAATTTGTATGCAATTTTAAAATTGAGAAGTGTCTTTTTAAAATGGTAACTTATTTTTCTACTAATGTTTGTTTCAGTTTGGAACTTAGTATTGTTGCTGCTGCTGCTATGTGCAGTCGAGTCAGTTTCGACTCAGCGACCTTGTATCCAATAAGTGACATTCAGAATTTATAATTAAGACATTCAAATCAAAAAGTATACACACTCATGATTCCAGCCATACTTTTCCATTTTCACAGGGATTTTAAGAAAGGTCAAGTCAGTGGATCAAACACTGCATCACCTCAATGCACAAAGTGAGCTTAGAGCTTCCCCACGAAAGCCGAATGTTTCCACGTGAGTTAGATCAGCAAATTCTTGAATCTTAGAAGTATAATGCTTCAAAGCTGAAAGACAGATGCAAAACAAGAACTAAGACTTACAATGTCACGAACACATACAATATCTCCTAATGTATCTGATTTTAAAAGGCTGTATTTGTGTATTCTAAGACGGTTCATTAAAATTTTCAGACACTCTGCCAGAAATCTAATAGCCAAAATGTGTAAAATTTCAACAATTTAATAAAAAGATAAATAATCAAATCATAAAATAAGCAAAAGGCTTGAATAGATATCTCACCAAAGAGGACATTCAAATGGTCACCAAACACATGAAAAGATGCATTTAGCCATTTGGTGTGTTTGCTATTAAGTGCCATCGAGTCGGTTCTAACTCATAGCGACCCTATATATGGTTTCTGAGGAGTGGCAGATGCAAATCAAACCTACAATGAGATATCATTTTCCTCCCACTACGATGGAGTCCTAGTGTAGCACTGGAGGATAAGCAATGGGCTTCTAACTGCCAGGTCATCAGTTCAAACCCACCAGCCACTCTTTGGAAACCCTATACAGGGTTGCTATGAGTTGGAATCAATTCATGAGCACTAATAACAATAGGACAGATAAGATAAAATAATCTGAAAATACAGATGTTGGTGAGGATGTAAGAAATCAGGGACCCTTATCCATTGGAGTCCTAGTATGGCGCTGTGGGTTAATGCACCAGGCTGCAAGTCATTTGAACTGCAAGGTCGGCGGTTCAAGCTCACCAGCTGCTCCTTGGAAACCCTATATAGGGTCGCTATGGGTTGGAGTTGACTTGACGGCACGTCACAACAACAACATCCATTGCTGGTATGAATGCAACATGGTACAACCCTTATGGAAACCAGTGTGGCAGAGCCTCGAAAAACTAAAAAACACAACTATCATATGATCCAGCAGTGCCACTTCTAGACGTAAAAGCAGACACTCAAAAAGAGACGTGGACACCAATGTTCACACAGCACTATTCACAATAGTCAAAAGGTGGAAACTATCTAAAGGCCCATCAATAGATGAATGGGTAAATAAAATGTGACACATGCTTACAATGGAAATGTGGCACATACACACATACATACATGCTCAACCAGTTGGAGAAATGATACCTGCCACAATATGGATGGAGCTGGAAGAGATTATGCTGAGCAAAATAAGCCAAACACAGAAGCCAAATGTTACATGATTTCACTTAATAAAAAGACAAGAAAAGGCAAATGTCTAGAGAACAATGTTTGTTTGTGTGGTTACCAGAGACAGGAAGAAAGGGGAAAACAAGGGTTACATACTCAAATACTGTAATTGTTGTCAATAAGATATATACACCTACAAAAAGTTGAATCTGCAAAAGTTATGTGATAAATGTATTTATAACAATGATTTTTTAAAAAAAGAAAAAAAGGAATTGCTACTGAGGCTTCTTATATAGGTTGGTTTGGAGGGTCAGGATCAGGGTTTCATGGGATACACCAGTTAATTGGTGAGTAACTTATTTAGTCCTTCTATCTACCTCCCAGTCAGCTGTATAGTGCTGGGAGTCTTAAAAATTTATAAGCTGCCATTCAAGGTATAACTGGTCTCTACTCCTCCATTTTCCTGGAGGAACAGGGGGAAAGGAGAGTCAGAAATAGGAAGAGGATATGAAATGCCTCCATGAGCAAGTGTCTCCTTGGCTATGGAACCAGAAACACCACATGCCATTACTGAACATTCTGATCAAAAATTCCATAGAAGAATACTGTGTAGAATAGAATTGCAAATTCTCATGGACTCTAAACTTTCTGGAGCCATGGAATATGGATGAATCCCTAAAACTATTCCTCTGAAATCACCTTTAAACCTTAAACCAAAAATAACTCCTAAAATCATTTTTAAACTGAACAACAGTTTAGCTTGTTGTTGTTGTTATTAAGTGCTGTTGAGTCAGTTCTAACTCATACAGATCCTGTATAGGGTTTCTAGAGGAGTGGCTAGTGGGTTAGAACCACAGACCTTGCTGTTCAAATAGACTTTCGGTCCAGTGCTTATCCTACAGGTCCACACCAGTTTAGCTTTGTGGTGGTTGTTGCTAATTTCCATCGAGTCGATTCTGACCCATAGCGACCCCGTATCCATATCAATAAATGGTACATGTAGGAACTGGTGAACTGTGTGTATTCTCAATAACAAAATTTAAGAAAATTATTAGAAAAAAAATTGAGACACTCTGCCCAATATTTAAAAGTAGGATTAGAAAAATCCAACTTACTTAAGCCTTCGAAGTTTTCTTCTTCTACCCCGCATCCATTGTCTGAAACTTCAATGAGATCCACTCCATAATCTTTAAGCCTTACATCTAAAACAGAAAATATTTCTCAGACAAATGATCCATGCTTATAACCTTCATAGCCTTATCGATAACTTTCTTAATGTAAATGTAAGCCATTGCTGTACTTTCATTTAAATATGCTGTCATTTGACAAAATATTTTATTTTTCAGAGTTCTTTTGACTATTAACTAGAGGCAAAATGAAAAGTTTAGGTTTTTTGGTATTTCTTTTTCTTGTTTTTGAAAGGAATAATTTTAACATAGTCATTTAAAAGAATAGGTTTTATCATCAGAGTTACTGAGAACTGATTTTACCAGCTGTAATGTGCTAGACTGCAAAGTCAGTTTAAACCACAAGGTAGGCGGTTCAAGCTCACCAGTCGCTCCTTAGAAACCAATGCAGGGTTGCTATGGGTCAGGACTGACTTGACAGCACTTAACAACAACAACATAGCCTCTGAAAAAGTTAAGTACCTCATCTCTAATGTTGTTAAATGCCATCGAGTCAGTTCCAACTCATTGTGACCCTGTATAGGGTTTCCAAGGAGCGGATGGTGGTGAGTTTGAACTACCAACCTTGTGATTCAAACCGACCTTGTGGTCCAGTGCTTTATCCCACAGCGCCAATAGGGTGATAATAGTAGTAATTACTATTCCTGGAGTCCTGGTGTGGTGCTGTGGGTTAATGCGCTGGACTGCAAGTTCGGCACTTAAGAAACATCATTACTATTCCTATCTCCTGGAATTATTCTGTAGAGTAAATGAAGTAGTCCATGTACACTTTTTAGGCAAAAATAGTAGTGGTGGTAAGAGCACATAAAGGTTAACTATTATTATTACCACCCAGATAATTACTAAGGAGCCCTGGTGGCCCAGTGGTTAAGTGCTCTGCTACTAACACAAAGGTCAGCAGTTCAAGTTCATTAGCTATTCTGCAAACAGTTCCCCTACTCTGATTCACGGGCTCACTATGAGTTGGAACTGGCTCAACAGCACCCAACAAAAAAAGTTAAATATTGGTGGTGGTGGTGCTTATGTCCCATGAACTCAGTTCCGACTCCTAAGGACCCCATTTAGGGTTTCTGAGGCTATAAATCTTTATGGTAGCAGAAAGTCTGTCTCATCTTTCTCCTGAGAAATGGCTGGTAGTTTTGAACTGCTTGCTGACTATGAGATTAGCAGCCTGACTTGTAACTACTACACATAAAAACCAAAACCAACCCTGTTGCCATAGAGTCAATTCTGACTCATGGCGACCCCATGCATTACAAGATAGAACTACTCTATAGGGTTTCCTTGGCTGTTATCTTCATGGAAACAGAGTGCCAGCTCTTTCTTCTGCAGCACCACTGGGTGGGTTAAATCTGCCAATGTTTAAGTTAGAAGACATGCATAAACTATTTTCACCACTTAAGGACTTCACAAGGATACATGATAAAATGAAGTTAAAATAACACTTTTTACTTTATCAACACTTGAGCGTTTTCTTATGCTAACAAATGTATGGTGATCATTTCAGGTAGGTTGAGACCCTCATGACTCACCGATACTGGTGGCCCCAGCATCCACGCTGTTTTCTACCAGCTCCTTCACTGCAGTGCTCAGACTCAGCACTACCTGCCCGGAACAAATCTGATGCACTGACTTCCGGTCGATAGGCTTGATGACCTTCGCAAATTCTGTACTAAAGAAATGCATTGCAAGAAGCAAAGAAGTATGCAATTATGTATTTTCATCTCGATTCTACCTGAGGAAAAGGATTCATCTGTTAATAGTAATGCTGTTATTAGATGGTATCCAGTTGATAGCAGCTCATAAGGACCACACGTACAACAGAATGAAACACAGCTCGGTTCTGCACCATCCTCACACTCCTTGTGATGCTGGAGCCCATTCGTGCTAATGTTGTTACTGTTGTTAAGCGACCCTGAGTCGCTTCCAACTCAGAGCGAACCTGTAGAGGGTTTCCAAGGAGCGGGTGGTGGGTTTGAACCACCAACCTTGTGGTTAGCAGCCCGGTGCTTATGTAAAGCATCACACCAGGACTGGAAGGGTAACAGGTCTAATCTATTCATATGTTGTTCTGACATACATAAGGGAGCTTCAAAAAGCTTGAAACCCCTTGTACATTTACTATATTCCTGAATATAACATTGTTCTACAATCCTTAAGCATCTGTCAAGAAAAATTTCTGAACAGATTATCAATTCTAAGAGATAGTTAACATCCAGTTATACTGAAGTATTCCTCAAACTGGAGTCCTGGTGTGATGCTGAGGGAGAAGTACCAGGCTGCTAACTGCAAGGTCCGAAATTCAAACCCACCAGCTGTTCCTTGGAAACCCTATACAGGGTCACTATGAGTCAGAACCTACTTGATGGCACTTAACAACAATCCCTCAAGCTTGGTGGTTCAGTAGTAGAATGTCTTCCACACAGTCATTAATCTAGTGATTTCTAGGGAACGATTGAACACTTGGCATAATAATATAATGCAGGGGGGTCTCAGGAGAGATATTTTGGATTATTTCCATACCAGCTAACAGACTCTTAACAACTCTATGTTGTTGTTAAGTGCTGTAGAGTTGGTTCCGACCCATAGAGACCCTATATAGGATTTCTGAAGAGCGGCTTGGTGGATCTGAACCATCGACCTTGTTGTTCAACGTGACCTTGCAGTCCAGTGCATTATCCTGCAGTGTCACACCAGGACTCCTGGCAACTCTATAGGACAGGGTAGAATGGTCCCATGGGATTTTCATGGACTGCCAGAAGAACCAGCAAACCTATTTTGGAAGAACTATAGCCAGAATGCTCCTTGGAAGTGAAGAATGGCAAGACTTCATCTCACATACTTTGAACATGTTATCATGAAGGACCAGTCCCAAGACTTCATGCTTGGTAAAATAGAGGGTCAGTGAAAAAAAGGAAGCCCTTCAGTGAGATGGACTGACACAGTGGCGGCAACAATGGCCTGAACATACTATCAATTATGAAGATGGCACAAGACTAGATAGTGTTTCGTTCTATTGTACATCGGTTCACTATGAATCAGAACTGACTCAACAGCATCTAAAAATATTAACAAAAGGAAGCAGGCTGCCAAATCTTTCTATCAAAGAGTGGCTGGTGAATTTGAACCACCAACCCTTAGGCTAGCAGCGGAACGCTTAACTATTGCACCACCATGGTTCTTTACTCCACAAAGTGCCATCGTGTAGCTTCCGACTAGTAGACTCTCCATACACCCTTCTGGAATAACAGAACAAACCTTTCTGACTTTCACTATACCTTGCAAAGAGTATCATCAAGTGTGTCTTAAGGGAAACTGTGGACGACCTCACAAAATGGAAAGAAGTAGCTCCAAAAATGAGCTTATTTGACAATAATCTTATTTGACATTTAATGAGCTTATTTGACAAAGATCCATTACTGATACTTACTTTGAAAGAAGTGGACCAGGCCAGGTAAATACAGCTGGTGAATAAAATTACCCACTACTATGAGTTGATTCCTCGGAAACCCTGTGCAGGGTCACTATGAGTCGGAACCGACTCCACGGTGCTTAACAACAACAACAACGAGTTGATTCTGATTCTATAGGGTTTCCAAGGCTGTTAATCTTTATGGGATCAGACTGCCACAGCTGTGTCCTAAAGAGCAGCTGGTGGGTTTGAACCATAGACCTTGTGGCTAGCAGCCAAATGCTTATTAACCCACTGTGCCACCAGGGCCCCACAAATCATAAAAGGAACACCGCCCAGGAGACATCAACGCAAGTGTCCGGGTCCCCTCAGGGCAAACCCCCTTCCAAGACTAAGACTCAAGGGGAACACATGAGCAAACACGTGCTCTGACTGGTGACCATATTGGTCACCGATAAGAGGAAGTGAGGGAAAAACAGCAATGAAACTGCAAGCTAATCCAACCACATTTATTACACTCCTGTGAACCCAGGTGGAGACCTGGTGGGCCAGCAGTATGGCAAGACTCCTGGGCCCAGAGTCAGTGACATAGCCACAGAGGACTAGAGTGGAGAGTGAAGCATCCAGCTGATAAGAAGAGAGGACATATGCACAAGAACACCCACACTTACAGATAATACCCACTTGACCTGGCTTGAATGGCTGGATGATCAGAGCTCAACTAGAAGAAGAAAGAAAAGGAAAAAAAGAGTAATCTGATACAATTTGATGGGAACATTCTTTACAGTGAGGATCATTCCCACCCCCTAAATACACAAGATAAACAGGGATGGGCACCTTGGACACTGGCTACTCCAAATGGGGGGTGCTACAAAGGCAACCTAGATCCAGAGGGCACAGAGGAAGGTAGAATCTCCACTGAGTAGTATCCAATCTGTCTGGGCAGGGCTGATGAAAGGAGATGGGGATAGCACTCATGTGGTCCAATAGTGAATAATTGTTATCAGGACTGACTGCGAGGGTTAGAAATGTCAAGGTAGATGTTTTGTAGCAAAAGGAGGGGAGTGATTGCAGTCTAGGAGCAGAGGTCCCTAGGACCATCAAGGGAGAAGAGCAGTGTGTGGGACCCTACCCAGAGAAACAATGACACCAGAGATGGTGGCAGAGATGATGACGTGGAGAGATGGAGCGTCTGGGAACTCTAGACCCAGAGAGGGAGAGGGGCTGACACAGGGAAGGGCGGGGGGAGGCTTTCAGTGTATAAACTTTGGTTTGTTGATGATGCATGGAGAGGATTGTAACCATGGCAATGTAGCAATATACAATAGGATGAACATAAACTATCTCCCATGTAAACTATCATATAATTCACAATAAAACATTAAATAAAAACAAGGAACACGGCAGTGCTGGCAGATTTGGAAGGCTGGCTACCCTGAATCTGGTGTCGCTTAAACTAGGTAGGAAAATCACATATTCAAAGAACTACAGAAAAATAAAAAAGAATTAAAAAAAAAACAAAACACACACAAAAAAAAAACCAGCTACGCAAATTCAGGTGAGCACTGAAGCTTAAGAAAAGTTAACTTTAGAAGAAGAAGAGGAGAAAGTAAGTAGACACGCAGATCATGTTTAAATAGAATTTTAAATGAACATCACCAGTAAGTACAGTGCATCTTTAAATAAATCACTTCTACGAGACCAAATGGGCAACACAGACTTTAAAACCAAGACGAGAACGTGAAGAAGCAAGCAATCTAGAGAACTGAAAACGGAACCAACCGGAACGGAAATACTGAGAATGTACACACATTGTTAAGAATGGAACCAGTGTCGCTGAATAATTTGCGTAGAAATTGTTGAATATTATGAAAACACAATTATTCTTTTTTATTTAAAAAAAAGTAAATAAATCAACTCAGCCTGCTTGGGTTTCAAGTTCACAGCTATTTGCCTGGGCGCTGGCCATATCCAGCACCTCAGAAAGTCAACTCTGAGTCTCGGACCCCAACCTTCAGGTGACAACAGTCAAGAGGCCGCCCCAGTGCGTCCCAGCCACTTCCCCTTCCTTCCAGGATCCTGGAACGCGTTGGGCCTTAGCGACAACGACCGGAAGGAGACCGACAGTCCCGCTCACCTGGGACCCTCAGTTCGCTCCATGGAACCAGAACCCGACCAGCCTCCGTGACAGTCACCCGATTCCCGCCACGGCGGATCCCACAGAAGTCTTGCCTCCCAACCGCCCATTGGTTCCTCCGCGATTTTCTCCCGCCCCTTCCGGAAGGCGAGTTAAAGCTTCCCGTAGGCCTTTTCCGCTGATTGGCTGTATCAAAGGTTGAGGCCGTGACGTAGGAGGGTCCCAGCCAATTAGAGCTGCTGGACGGCGCTCTCCCGAACGCCCGCAGTTCGTCGTGGCCTTTGACGGTTTCTGTGCGTTCGTGTTCCCCACCCTCTTCCTTCCCTCTCTGGGTTGCCGCGATGCCGATGTACCAGGTAAAACCCTATCACGGGGGCGGCGTGCCTCTCCATGTAGACCTTCCAACCTGCATGTACCGACTTCCTAACGTGCACAGCCGGAGCAGCGGCCCCGCAACCGACGCTAGCCACGTGCAGGTAGGAACGTGCGACTTGGCCCCCTGCCTCCACCCACTTACTGCGCAGGCGCCCTTCCGCGGCCGGTACCGAGACATCCCGACGGGCAGATCCCTACGGGCTCGGAGAGGGCGCGGCCACATTCCTACCACTCTAGCTGACCCCTGCCTCCAAAAGTCTACGACTTCGGTTACAGTCTTTTTCCGCTTACGTTAATTAAACTGTTTTCCTACGAAATGTTATCCACAGAAAAACAATAAATAAATGCTCGTTTCGGGTGAATTACAAAGTGAACCGCAGTTTAACAACCACGCGGGTCAAGACACGTTATTAGCGCCCCTGCAACGCCCCACGCTTCACACTATAACCTCCCCTGTCCCCTGCTATCCTGGCATTCATAATAGAGTTATGTTGTTTTTCTCGATGATTTTTGCCGCCTCAGTGTGCATTACTAAACAATATAATCTTGCTTGAATTTTTTTATCTTACATAAGTGGAATCATACAGCATGTGTTTGGTTGTGTCTGGCGTTTTCTACACATCATGATTTTAAGATTCGTTCTTGCTGCTTTTAACTATGGAATACACGTTTTCTTTGCTGTGTAGTGTGCGTGACTATTGTTGTTTGGTGTGTGGTGTCCAGTCAATCCAGACTCATGTGGACCCTGTATAGGGTTTCCGAGGAGCAGCTGGTAGGTGTGAACTGCCGACATCGAGGCCAGCAGTCCAGTGCTTATTCTAGAGCGCCACACCTGGATCTTTTCTGTTCACGGACACGGTGGAGTGTATATGCAAGCATAGGGTGTGTGTATACTAAGGAAAGGAATTGTTTTGGGCTCTGAGAGCCTGTTTACCTTCAATTCTACTAGAGAAATTGTCTTCTATTTGGTTTTACTGACAGGCTAAGCTCTAACCAGCAGTGTGTAAAAATTCCTGTGGCTTGCATTCCCCAAAGCTTATAGGTGTGTAGTGGTATCCTTGTTGCTGTTAAGTGCCATTGAGTGAGCATTTGGGCATCAATCTGGTCAAAAGGGTTGGGTCAAGCTGAGCTGAAGACTGAAATCTCAGGCCATACTCATACACAGTACTCACATACATTGTTTAGTGTGTATTGACTAAGGTTTGGAGGCCAAAAGGGGCATCTTTGCCCCTGGGAGGACAAGGAACCTCCTGCCATTTGCACAAAGTTTGTGCACAAATACAATGGTTAAGAGAGACTGGAAATGCAACTCAGGAGGACAATCATTGAGGAACTTGACTAGCCCTGCCCATCACCTATCTTGCACTGAAATTTATTGTGAATCAGCACCCTTTATTTTCTTAGCAGACTGAGCACTTTACTTTTCTTTGTTCCACCTAGAAGTCAATTATCTTACATTACCATGGTGTGTGATCTTAAACAAAGAGCATCAAGTCAGCAGAGGTGGGAAACTAGAGATTAAGCTACAAATGCTTTATAGTGCCATACAAGAGATGAGAGGGCCCAAGATGTGTAAGCTTGGTGCATTTTAGGAACCCAAAGGATAGCATGGACACAGGTGAGATGAGTTATCCAAGGTGTGATTGAGTCATGTTAAAGATTTTACTTTTCATCCTAAGAGCCTAAGACTTCAGTTGGGGAAGGAAGGGCCAGTAACAGAATATGACTGCCATCTGTCAGGATTGGTAGTGGACCAGAGTGGATGCAAGGTGATTGGGTAGGAAATCTGTCAGGTGTAAAATGGAGGCTTGGACTAGGTGTAGAACAGCAGAGGTTCAGGTTGCTCAAAGGCTTCTCACAGCAGATGGTGAAGATGAATTTCGGTATCTCACAAGGGAGAGGCATGCTAAACCAGTGAATCCAAGAGGTGAAATTTACAGTACTGCTTAACCAAAAGGTCAGTGGTTCAAACCCACCAGCCTCTCCTCGGAGAGCTTAGACAGGATTGCTATGAGTTGGAACTGATGAAGAGCAAAGACTGCAGCCTTCAGTATAGGTTGCACTTCAATGTAAGGAAAACAGAAAACCTCACAGCTTTACCGAAATAACATCATGATAAATGGAAAAAAAGACTGAAGTTGTCAACAATTTTCGTTTTGCTTGCATCCACCAGCAACACTCAAGGAATCAGCAGTCAGGAAATCAAACAAAGGATTGCCTTAGGTGAGTCTGCAGCACAAGACCTCTTCCTCTTTAAAGTGTTCAAGAGCAAAGATACCCCCACTTGAGGACTAAGGTGCTCCAGACCCAGTCACCTCATATGCATATCAAAGTTGGACAATGAATGAAAACCATAGAAGAATTAATGCATTTGCTTTATCGTGTTGGAGAAGAATATTGAAAATACCATGGACTGCCAGAAGAACAAATACTGTGTTGGAAAAAGTCCAGCCAAAATATTCCCTAGGAGCCAGGATAACTTCATCTCTCACACTTGGGACATGTTATCAGTAGGGGCCAGTCCCTCGAGAGGGAATTATGCTTGGTAAAGCAGAGAGTCAGCAAAAAAGAGGAAGACCCCCAACCAGATGGATTAGCACAGTGGCTGCAGCAGTGGGATGGAGCATAACTCGAGCGTACACAACAACAATGAACAATGTAATCTTTAGTCTGTCTTCTCAAAACAGATTTTCTATTATGACAGTTCAGGGATCTGGAAATAGGTTGTATAATGTTGCTTCTTTTGAGAGTCTTGTAAATAGTTTTGGGTTTTTTTTTGGAGCCCTTGTATGATGCTGTAGGATAAGTACTGGATTACTAACCACAAGGTTGGCGGTTCAAACCTGTCAGCCACTCCTTGGAAACCCTATACAGGGTTACTTACTATGAGTTGGAACCAATTCCATGGCATTTAACAAAAGTTGTTTTTGTTTTGTTTTGTTCTTAAATCTGTAAATATCTGTTTGTCAGCAGAGATTACTGTCACTTATGGTATGTACTCTATTGGGCAGAACGATGAAAGATTCTGTGAGTGAAGGATTTATAAAAGCCCGTGGCCGTTGATTGCGACTCATAGCAACACCGTGTGTTACAGAGCAGTACTGCCCCACAGTTTAAAGGCTAGGCATGAAGTCATGTGTTACAGAGCAGTACTGCCCCACAGTTTAAAGGCTAGGCATGAAGTTGTACGTTTTAGCTGTGAAAAGATTGTACATGATTCTAAGATATCAGAGCCCCAGTACAGCTTTGAAAATGATGTGAGTCACTCATCATCTGACCCCATGGACGAAATTCCAAACCAAGTGAACCATAAAGCTATCTGTGCTCCGTGTTCCCTTTTACTAGTTCCAGTTAATTAGTGCCGATTGTTGAATTGTGTCTTGTTGCCACTACCCCACCCTAGGTCTTTTTCTGGTGTATTTAAGCAAACTTTTTGGATTCATGTGATATTAAGAATATGCTCAGTTTCTACACCCCTCTCTTTCTGACTTCTTACCTGAAATAGCAGTCATAGAATTTTAAAGTGGTTTTCAGTCCCAACAGTGTTTTGTTTATTTGTTTTTAAAACCATTGTTGGGCTCCGGAGGACAAGAGGTGAGTCTGTGTCAGGAGGCAGGAGGTTTGGTGAATGGGTGGAACAGAGTGAATGTGAATGGAGATGAACCCTCTGTTGTTGGTTTGTTTAGGGAGCAGCTGACCCTTCTCCTCTTCAAGCTCTGGAGTCACGTCAGGATGAAATTCTCAAATGCCTATATGAACTGAAAGCCGCAGTGGATGGTCTCTCTAAGATGATCCAGACACCAGATGCAGACTTGGATGTGACTGACATAATCCATGCTGATGAGCCCACCACTTTCACCACCAGCGCGCTGGACTTAAATTCAGTGCTGGGAAAGGTGAGTGCCTTTTCAAGGCGAAAGCTGAAACATGTCAGGCGACAAGCTGCTTATTGGTGCTGAAAATTGTGCTCTTGTGGTAAAAGCCTTAGTGTTTTGTTGTTGTTGTTTTCAGAGGGGTAGTAAGGAATTTATAGTTGTTGTTTTCCTTTAAATGAGTGTGCCTCTGCACGGAATAGATTCATGAGGTATGAGTAAATCCCAAGCAAACTCTCCAGCCATGCTTCCGGACTGCCTTCATCCTGGTAGTGGTGAACAGGGAGGATTCGCAGGCAGAGAGACACGTGCAGGCCAAGCACACTCCATGCCAGAGGCGGGCACGGGCCCAGTGCCACTGAGCCCTGGAGAAACAGATCTTCACTGTTTGCTCAGGGCTTCTCAAAGGCTCAGGGCTCAACCTCAACCCTTTGTGGGAATAGCTCGACTTTCAGAGCCATTGTTGCCCTGGTACAAAATCCCACTAATCCTTTGCCATGTTGCAAAAAGCCAACCACCGTCTTATATTTCCAACTTGTTTTGCGTAAAATCACTTTCCTGAGTTACAGTTAAGTTGCATCAGCCAGCTCTCATTTAGGGGAGAGGAGACCTGATCGGCAAACAAAGACTGTCTTGTTATAAAGTGCTATTTGAAAGTGCTAATCTTAACAGACTCCTATCTAGCACTGAGGAACAATGTGACAAGCTGTGTTACAGTGTTTCCCCAGGACTGTTTTTGAGATCCTTGTTCACTCTGCATATTTTCTCCCCTTCTCTGTTCACTCACTCATCCTGTACATGTTTGCATGCCCAGAGTCCTGACCTCTTCCCCAGGGAGCCAGTCCAGTGGAGGACTCAGTAGCGCTGTCATCCAGGCGTGTCTCAGGGTGCTCAAAGGCTTCCCACAGCAGATGGTGAAGATGAATTTCGGTATCTCATAAAGGCACAGCATCAACTAAAAGGGTTGACTTCAGGGAACTGCAAAGCATTCATCCTGAAAAGGCCCTGCCTGAGTCAGGAGTGGCCAGATGAGAGTGGCTGGCTTGGTCTAGAGAGTTTAGGAATTTGACATTGGTTATATTCTATAAATTATGTTTCTTATTAAAAGATAAGTACAGAAATAGGAAAGTAAATTTGGCCTTCAGTTGATACCTAAATCAACTCTCTAGCCCTCCAGACCAAGATCCCTTTTCAAGGGGCTGTTACGTTAGTGAACATGAGTGAGCATAGAAGCCATCATGCTATTGGGTGATCAAATATTAGAAAGATTTGGTAAAAGGAGCAACTGCTTGTGTTACTTTACGCTATTGCTAAGGTAGATAGCTTGACCTTTGAACAAACAGCACAGATAGGAACTACATGGGTCCACTTCTATATGGATTTTTTCTCCTGTTGCTATTACAGTGAGCCTTAATATCGTCTCTGCTAAAATGTCATGTGTCTGCACATGAGGTCCCTCCCTCCAGTAACTGCTAGCCCCTCACCATCTACACCCCGTAATGAGCCATGGTCAACATCACACAGCGCTTTAGTCACATGCTGTTTTAGGCACAGTAGAAACAGGAAAAACAATCCATGTATAAAGGGGTCTGTGCAGTTCAAATCCATGCAGACAACTGCACAGGATGTCAGCGCCCCTAACCCCCTGTGCTGTTTAAGATCAGCTGTAGTAATACATAGTTTTACCAATTTTCTAGTAAAGTGACATATTTATTACTTGGGAGGCAGCAGTTTAGGGATTAAGGGATGGAGTTGGCATATGGCCCAGCTCTACTTGGTACTGAGTTGGAGTGACCTTGGACAGGACTTGTTTCCTCCGCTGAAAATGTAGACAATCGAAGTCCCTTCCGTGAGGGAGGATTCAGCTGGATAACCCTGTTGTTTCCAGCCTAGCACTCCACTGGTCATTGAGACAGTTTGCTCTTCTCCCACCAGGATTATGGAGCGCTGAAAGACATTGTGATCAATGCAAACCCAGCCGAGCCACCTCTCTCCCTGCTGGTGCTACACGGACTGCTCTGTGACCGGTACAGGGTCCTGTCCACAGTCCACACGCACTCATCGGTCAAGAGCGTGCCCGAAAACCTCCTCAGGTGCTTTGGAGCACAGACTGAAAAGCAGCCACGTCACGAGTACCAGTTGGGTTTTACTTTGATTTGGAAGAATGGTAAGAGGAGAGACTGGGTGAAGCTTTGAGAAGATAATGAAATGCACTTCTTGATTTTAATATAGAGGCAGCTATTGGGCCACACGATGTAATTTAGAAAACATGTGGGGTCATTCTAGAAGAGACACAGATGAATGTTGACCCAAAGATGCCTTCCCCTTCCCTGGGAAATCTTTGGCTGAAATCATGGTTCTGTTTTTGGAGGGCATACTGTAGAAAGGAAGTCCAGTCGGTTCCCAAACCTAATTGTTAAAAGGGATATTGAAGTGATCGTGACCAATCACCATAAAAGGATGGTAGGATAATTATCCAAAGGATCCACTCTTCTTCTGATCAGTTTTGGACAGGGGGGAGCGAGTTAATTATCTTTGATTCAGTAATACTTGAACCGCCTGCCACTTACACAGATACTGAGAGGAGACAGGCCTGACTTAAAGAGATGGGACTCCTGGTTCTCAGTCATCCCGTCCTCTTAAATCATTAGGCTCAGGAGTTTCAGAAGATGCTCTGAGGTCCCTACCTACCCAAAAGTTGTCATAATCAAGTCAGGCCCCCCTCAGGGATATTGCAGGTTCAGTTCCAGGCCACTGCAATGAAGTGAAGATTCTTTACTAAGGAAGTCACTTTTTGTTGTTTTCCTGTACGCATAAAAGTTAGGTAGACACTAGACTATAGTCTTTTAAGTGCAGTAGCATCATGAAAATTTTTTGAAATGTGAGAATTACCAGCCTGTGACAAGAGACATAATGCCAGCACATTCTTTTACAAAAATGGTGCCAGGAGACACTCAGGAAGCTTCTATTTGTAAGGGAAGCACAATAAAACCTGGTATGCCTGTCCAGAGTAATTATTATAATTTTTTTAATGTTTTATTGTGAATTTTGTGATAGTTTACATGGGAGAACATTAACTTTACATTCATTCTATCATCATTTCATTGCCATGCATCATCAGCCAACCAAAGGGTATACCCTGTAAGCCTGCCCCCCAGTCATCAGCACACAATCCCTCTCCCTCTCTGGGTAGAGTCCCCAGTTGCTCCATTTCTCCATGTCATCGCCTCTGCCTCCATCTCTGGCGTCACTGCTTCTCTGGGTAGGGTCCCGCACTCCACTCTTCTCCCTTGATGGTCCCAGGGACCTCGGCTTCTGCAACTCTCACAATCAGTCCTGATAACAATTAGTACCACAGGGGACCTATCCTCATCTCCTTTCATCGGCCCACTTAAGACAGATTGGATACTACTCAGTGAAGATTCTACCTTCCTCTACGCCCTCTGGATCTAGGCTCCCTCTTGAAAGCTTGTAAGCCAGTCACTTCTTGCCTTTGTATCCCCTCCAGTTTGGGTAGCCAATGTCCAAGTTGCCCAGCCCTGTCTACTCTGTGTATGGAGGGGGTGGGAATGATCCTCACTGTAAAGATTTATTCCCTCTTTTGAGCTACTGCATCCATAGGTGTAGGTCAAGTTCATCAAATTGTATCAGATTACTTTTTTTCCCTCTTTTTTCTTCTTCTGGTTGAGCTCTGATCATCTAGTCATTGAAGCCAGGTCAGGTGGGTATTATCTACAAGTGTGGGTGTTCTTGTGCATATGCCTTCTCTTCTTATCAGCTGGACACTTCACTCTCCACTCTTGTCCTCTGTGGCTATGTCACTGACTCTGGGCCCAGGAGTCCCCAGGTCTTGCAACGCTGCTGGCCAACCAGGTGTCTACCCAGGTTCACAGGAGTCTATAGAATATTGTAGGGCTTAGATCGCAGCTTCATTGCTGTTTTTCCCTCACTTTCCCTTTTCAGTAATGAACGTGATCATCAATCATAACGCATGTTTGCTCATGTCTTGGAAGGGGGTTTGCCCTGAGAGGACTCAACCACTTGCCTTGATGTCTCCTGGGCCAGAATAATTACTTTTTTAAACATCAAGTTTGTATTTAAATCCTCTTGAACATTAAATCTGTTGTAGACCAACTATAAAAGCAGAATTTCTTTCTTGAAAATCACTTTGACTTTCCATGTCATCAGCACAAGATGCCTAGCGAGCCCCCTTTGCATTCTTTGAGTTGCTCAAATGCTGCTTTGGGAGGTGTGCAAGGGAAGGTTCTCTTCTCGATATTCCATGTGTGTGTTTTTCCCTTCCAGTGCCAAAGATTCAGATGAAGTTCAGCGTCCAAACCATGTGCCCCATTGAAGGAGAAGGGAACATTGCTCGGTTTTTGTTCTCTTTGTTTGGCCAGAAGCACAATGCTGTCAACTTAACCCTCATAGATAGCTGGGTGGATGTAGCGATTTTCCAGCTGAAAGAGGGAAGCAGTAAGGAAAAGGCCGCCGTGTTCCGCTCCATGAACTCTGCTCTTGGGAAGAGCCCCTGGCTGGTTGGTAATGAACTCACCGTAGCAGACGTGGTGCTGTGGTCCGTGCTTCAGCAGTCGGGGGGCGCCAGTGGGACGGTGCCTGCCAACGTGCAGAAGTGGATGAAGTCATGTGAAAACCTGGCTGCCTTCAACGCTGCCCTCAGGCTCCTTCAGTGAACTGCCGTAACTGATCTTAAGGGGTTTAGGTTTTAAGAATGGTGCTGCTGTTTCATGCCTACTGGTAAAGGGACTTGCTCTTTCTAGTTAGGTCTGTTGCCCAGTATCAATAAAAACATTATAGCATTTGTAGCTTTGATTTTATTTGAAGTTCCACAAAATCACCTGCACTTCACCGTGACCACTGCTGACTGTGTTGGGGATACAAAAATGAACACATGCCATTGCCATCTTGTGATGTACAGGCTGGCTCAGGAGTAGTGTTATTACATTGGGGAGGGGGAGGAGGAGGGGGTTTCAAAGGAGGAAAGCTGCTATTTGAGTGCTGTGAGAAGAAATCTTACTGAGTCCTAGAAGTACTAAGTTTTAAACAGGCCTAGTTTAGGAACAAAACCAAGCTCAGGGTAGAGAAAACAGAGAGCTGGGTTTCGATCTTCATGGCAGCGGGGAGCCAGCAGCAGTTCATGTGCCAGGGAGTCAGCTGACGGGACAGCCTCTTTGCTCAGTCATAGCAGCAGCTGTGCGAAAGGCTATCTGCATTAGGGAGACAGGCAGCTGTCAAGGCTGGTGACAGTCGAGCTGGCCAAGTGTGCAGGCCTGAACTGGGCAGCCACTGGGGATGGAGACATATTGCGGTTTCTGTAGTAGAACCTGTTAAAGGAGGATTTGGTGTCCAGTGGACACGGAGTTCACAGGGGGAGGGATTCATTGACATGAAACAAAATGTGAATCAACTGCTAAGTAGAAAATGGACTGGCTCTGTAAGCTTTCACCTAGTTCACAACCAAAAATGAAACAGGAAGAACTAAGGCTGCAGTCAGAGACTGGGTCCGCAGGAATACTAACATGGGGAATCCAGGAACACGAGCTTGTGGGGGAGGAAGAAGGACAAGCTGAGAGTTTAAGGCAGTGTCAGCACAGCATACTGGAGTCCTCGTGTGGCACTGTGCCTTAATGCACTGGACTGTAAAGTTGGTTTGAACTACAAGGTTGGCAGTTCAAATTCACCAGCCACTCCTCGGAAACCCTATACAGGGTTGTTATGGGTTGGAACCAACTCGATGGCACTCAACACCAGCATAGCATCCACTACTGTGGTGGCCTCCATGTGGCTGTGATGATGGAAGATAGTCCAAGAGGCCGTCATCATCCAAATAAGGGTATATATTGTGTGGTTTCAAATCAGGAAAGGTATGTGTCACGATTGTATTCTTTCACCATACTTAATCTATGCTGAGCAAATAATCAGTGAAGACCAGCAACAGGATGGGAGGAAGATTCATTAATAGCCCATGATAGGCAGATGACACAACCTTGCTTGCTGAAAGCAAAGAGGACTTGATGCATTACTAATGAAAAATAAAGACTACAGCCTTCTGTATGGATTACACCTTGTCATAAAACAAAATTCCTCACCACTGGACCAATAAGTAACATCATAAATGGAGAAAATACTGAAGTTGTCGCTGATTTCCTTTTGCTTGGATCTGCAAAACACCATGGAAGCAGCAGTCAAGAAATCAAATAACTGACTGCACCGGGGCAATGAATTGCAGAAGACCTCTTGAAAGTATGAAAAAACTGCAATGCTAGACGACTAAGATATGCCTGACCCAAGCCATGCCATCATCACCTCACATGCATGTGAAAATTGGACAATAAGGCAGATGAAAGAACACTTGATGTATTTGTACTATGATGTTGGTGAAGAATACTAAATAAGCCATGGAATGCTAGAAGAACGAACAAATCTATCTTAAAAGAAGTACAGTTAGGATGCTTAGCTGCAAGGATGGTGAGGCTATCTCATGTACTTTGGACATTCCTGGAGAAGGACATCAAGCTTGGTAAAGTGATCACAGTGACGGCAACAACGGGCTCAAACACAGAAACGATGGTGAGGATGGCACAGGACAGGGCAGTGTTTTGTTCTGGTGTACACACGGGCGTTATGCTGACTTGGCAACACCTAACAATAACAAATTTAAGATGCTGACTCATAGGAGCTCCCTCAGAAAGGAGCAGTTGAATTTTAGTAAGTCTTCAATAGGCTTACTGAATATAATTAATTATACCATTTATAGCCAAATATAGATTAGAAATTTACATTCCAGTAGAGTAAGACTTTTTAAAAGTCCACTTCCATAGTATTTACACAAGGGGCTTTTCAAAAGTTCATGGAAAAAAATCTATCTTTTAATTCAATTTTTCCACAAACTTTTTGTAGCCCCGTCATATATCCTTATTAAGGCTAGAGAGGGACACTTCCAACTTTCATGTCATCCTTAACTCTCTTGTCCTGAGAGAGGAGGCTCAGCTGTTTTTTGAGTGCTTCAATTTCTTTTTCTTGCTCCAGTACCTTCATCTGTAGGGTAAGAGTCATCTATAAAGAAAATATTTTAAGGTCCATTAAAATGGCTACTTCTTATACTTTAAAATATACAGACAGTATAAATCTACAGTACACTTTTGAGATGCATGAATTTCTGTTATCGCAGTTAAACAATGCCAGTCAGAATGTTATAGTAAGTAAACTCAATAAGTACTTCATTCTACAAGTCGCTATGTAAATGACTGGTACCTGTCACGGTATCAGTGCCCTATCATGTTGCTGCTGTCCAAGTCTGTTAACGAATCATTATCCTCCTGGCATGATTGCAGTCTTTTATCCTTTGGTACATGTCCACTTGACTAGCAGCTAACAATACTTCCAAAACAATTTATAAAAGGTTACCTAGACCAATTGAGACTAGAAGACCCTGAAAACACCTTTTTAACCTTGAAATGAAACTGTCCCAAGGTTACCATTTCCGGAAACAATAGATTGGCATTTCGGATATTAACCATCTAGCTGGGGCCATGAGGTTCACAATTATTCTAACACAAAGTTGAGAAGGTAAGAGGGCAGGGAAGCAAGAATACTGGAAACGAGTCAGGAGAATGGTTCTTAATGAAGAGCATGCTGACTCTGAAAAGTTTATGTCACTGCACCATTTGTATAGAAAGTGTCAAATGAGAACCTGGTTTGCTGTGTAAACTTTGGCAAAAAAACATACTGTTTTGTTTTTTAAAAACAAAAGATGATATACCATAGTTGGGTGGGGGAGAATGAAACCTTTTCACTGACTTAGCAAAGTGAGGCTGGAAACTGCAGCCTATAATTTTTAGAGCAGTGAGTTGGAAGGGAGTCCACTGGTTTACTTAAATATGAATACACCAGTATGCTGTTGGCATAGGAGCCCTGATTAAGTGACCAAATGACAGCCTTGGGAAGCCTATGGGGCAGTGCTACTCTGTCCTATAGAGTTGCTGGGGTGGAGCTGATAGCAATGGTACAGTAGGTTATGCTACTGACATTTAAACTTAGTATACTGCTAGGGAACTCTGAGGATGAGTTTCCAATGTTTGCTTCCATAAAACTTAGGCTCCCCTGGTTCCTCATGAAATAGGACTCAGAGTTTAAATAAATAAGTTCTATTTTAAGCTTCATATTTTTCTCAGCACAATAAAACGACATACATTTCCAGAATTCTGGAAAAGTTCACTCTGCAGTAGCTCGGCGGCAGAAGGTCTCTGGGATGAGTTCTTTCTGGTTAACTGCTGGATATACTTGACTTGAACTGGACACCTTTGACTGAGCGATTCAGGTATCTGGCCAGTTCGTAAGCCCATTAAGACTTGGGTGCGCTCCATTTCTGTTCCAAATGGCTGGAAGAGCTCCAGCAGAATGACACCCAGGCTATACATGTCTGACTGCAAAAGGAAAAGGAGGAGAGTTAACTCAGTAACAATGCAATACCCACAACAATGCTTCCATTTCCACGCACCAGCCTTTGGAACAGGACAGTCACCTCCATGAGCAAGAGTCTCCCCCACCCCCCAACAGGCTGGCTGCCCTGTGTGAGAGGTGACAGGATAATCGCTCACCACCAGCAGCAATCACTACCTTACAACCATCTTTCTCAGGTTTTGGAAGTCCAGGCCAGAGCCCGACAGACTGAGGAAGTGACAAGCCTATATCCATGCATGCACCATCTACTACGCCCGCTCTGCTATCAGCTCTGCCCCCATGCCTAATGATGATTCCTTGGTGAAGTCTCACAAGCCCACTGCATCAATCTGTGTTACTTTTCCTGGGGAGTTTTGGGGGAAGGGTTCAGTCTCTAGAGTTTTAGAGGTAGCCATGGTGATTTCCCAATCACAAAAGAAAAGCTGAACGGTTTGTCAAAAGAAAATGAACTCAGCTGTTATTTTGCAAAAAGGATTGACTTTAACAGTCCTTCAAGGAACAATTGGCAGCCTTCATGGAACCATGGGTTTATCTTTCTTAACTCATTACAACTTTTTAGTATCTTCATAGTATTCCAATTTGTTTTGTAAACTTTCACCAAAAATCACAAAGAAAAGTTAAAAACAAAGACATCAAAATAGTAAACCATCTAAAGAGCCAAGCAGTCAGATCCAGTTAAAAAGTGAGCCCTGTGAGGACAGGTGATCGCCAAACATACCTGTACCACAAGAGGACCTCCATGACATATGCTTTCCACATACAGAGTAAGCCCAGAAACAAAGAAAAATGCAACTGCCTCTACCTTGGCATCGTACTCGGAGCCTTCCAGCTGCTCAGGGGATGCGTACAAGGAAGTGCCCACCCTGGAAGTGTGCGCTGGCATTCCTGTAATTTGAAAACCCACGTAGTAAACATTTCATTGTTGATACTGTCAACATTAATGAACACTTAGGATAAGCAGGGCACTTTAGCTCCTTGGGGAATAATAGCGGCTTTTAGCCTTACTCTTCCTTATGAATCCTTGATGTTCTTGAAATACTGACATTCAAGCATGTCTCTTTTCTTAAGGGCAAAAAAACCCAAAAAGTCTTACTTTTTCCATTTCCATTATTCCAGTCTGAGTTTTTCTGTAGGATGTCTGTGCAGGCCAGACCAAAGTCTCCTATTTTTACTTGCTGATCAGGACCATGAAGAAAAATATTTCTGGGCTGTAAACAAAAAGAATGAGTCCGTTCCCTGGTTTTCTTAAACAGTAAAACTTTGTGGATATTAAGAGTTTTCAATTCAGGAGCAAATAGTGCTGACAAAACTAAACATTAGAATGGTAATTCTCAAACTCTGCACACATAGAATCACGTTTTACAAAAACCCCAGTGTCCCAGACAAACAAAAGAATAATTTCTAGGGGTGGATGCCGATATTATTATTTAAAAGTCCTCAGGTGATTCTAAATTTGGGGCTAACGAATTTACATACTGCAGTCCGGGTATGGCGCTATGGGTTAATACACTGGACGGCAAAGTTGCTTTGAACCGTTAGGTTGGTGGTTCAAGTTTACCAGTCTCTCCTCGGAAACCCTATACAGGGTCGCTATGGTTTGGGATTGATTCCACAGCACTTCACAACCATAACAATTTACACACCAACCACTAATGCCAAGGATGAAAGAACTAAAGATTTTGTCAACTTCTGCATTCTGAAATTGATCCAACATACAACTGAGATGCACTGATAATTACTGGTGATAAGAATGCAAAAAAATAAAAACAAAGTAAGAAAGATCAGTAGTTGGAAAATATGTTCTTGGTAATAGTAAAAGTGTCACCGGACATCACATGATAGAATATTGCAAGATGACGACTTATTCACTACAAGTATCACTTTTTCAACAACATAAACAGTGACTACACACTCAGACCTCACTGGATGGCATATACAGGAATCAAATCAGCTGCATCTGTGGAAGGAGATGATGGAGGTCCAGGGCCAACTGTGGAACACCAGTTGCTGATCTGCAAATCCAACTTAAAGCTAAAGAATATTAAAGCAAGTCCATGAGAACCGAAGTACAACCTTGGGTACTGAATTTAGAGACTATCTCAAGACTATATTGGATGCATCGAACACTAATTACTGAAGACCAGATGAAAAGTTGACATCAGGAACATCATGCATGAAGAAACCAAAGGTCATTAAAAAGACAGAAAAAAAAAGAGTTTACAAGATCAAAAGGGATGAACACACTCACCATTTCTCAAGCTGAAAGCAATGAAGAAAAACTCAAACCACAAGTTGCAATGTTGAAGAATTCTATGGGCAAATTAATAAATGATACAGGCAGCATCAAAAAAAGATGAAAGAAATACAGAACATTAACCAAAAATAAATTCGTTAGGGAGAAGCGCGGAGTGCGGGACCCTATCCAGAGATGGAGGCAGAAATGATGACACGGAGAGATGGAGCGGCTGGGAACGCTAGTCCAAAGAGGGAGAGGGGCTGTGTGCTGACGACCGGGGCACAGGCTTGCAGGGTATAACATTTGGTTGGTTGATGATGCATGGAAGGGACTGTAACCATGGAAATGTAATGATATAAGATAGGATGAATGTAAAGCTAATGTTCTCCCATGTAAACTATCACATAATTCACAATAAAAGTTAAAAATAAATACATAAATAGGTTAATGTTCAACCATTTTAAGATGTAGTATATTATAATCAAGAACTGATGTTATTCAAAGAAGAAGTTCAAGCTACACTGAAGGCATTGATGAAAAACAAGGCTCCAGGAATTGACAAAATGCACATAACAACAACAACAACAACAGGTCACATTAGGAAGGTGCACATTTGACTTTAATTAAGCAAACGTTAAAGACACGTCATCTCTCAACCAACATAGCCCAATGCCAGTGAAAAGCTACACCTATATTTTGGTGAAGGGTGGGAGAGCAGAAGAGATTCCACTAAAATCTAAAAAATATTTAAATTAAATGTTGTTTTCTTACTTTACTTTATCTAAATGTAATTTTCTACTTTAATATGTAAGTCCCTCCATTTAAAAAATTTTGTTAGCTGTTGGAACTATGTTGTTATGTGCTGTGGAGTCGATTCCGACTCATAGCGACCCCGCACAGGGTTTCCAAGGCTGTAAATCTTTACGGGAGCAGACTGCCTCATCTTTCTCCCGCAGTACAGCTGGTAGTTTCCAACTGCTGACCTTGTGATTCGCAGCCCGATTCGTAACCACTATGCTACCAGAGCTCCTTATAGTTGAATTAAAAGAGAAAATAGAAGTAATATTTTATGTACGATGAAAGTTTGGTTACCTTTCTGTGAATGGGGATTAAAAAAAGGCCTAAAAAATAATTGAGCACTCTGTGCTATAGAGGCACATTAAAAAAACTGAAGTGTGAAGTCTGACTCACCATAAAATGAACTGCATTCATGGGAAAGTCTTTGAAGCAACAATCCTAGGACAGTTCTAGAACTGAACAGAAGCAACCATCCATCACAAAGAGTCTGAAACTGACAGGTTCCGTTTTGGCAGTTTCCCTGGATGCTTAAGTCTTCATAAGACCCTTAAGTTTTTCTCATGGGAAACATAACCAGAAGGGGCACCAGAGGCCTAGGTGTTGACAGCACCTCTGCGTCTGTGGAAGAAGCCCCACCAGAAGAAGCACTTCACAAGAAACTTTACGACGCCATCTTGAGGGAAGACTGCGCTGCAATCCAGGTGCTCCTCAAAAGTCACCCCGTCAACCAGCCCATAACCATTTTGGCCAACTCCTTGAGCTACAGATTACTGCTCAACCAGGTACCCTCATTTCTGCTCAGTTACGTTCAGAAAATCTCTGTGATGTCTAAGAGGAAATTCCACCTCCTTGTTGTTAGGTCTGACTCATAGGAACCCTGTGTATATACATTAAGACCAAACACTGCTCGGCCAATCCTCATATTCGCTGCTATGTTTGAGCCCTTTGTTGAAGCCACTGTGTCAATTCATTTTGTTGAGGGTCTTATTTTAAGTGCCTTTCACCCTGAAGGGTTCATTTTCTGGCACTGCTAAGGTTTTCAGTGGCTACTTTTTCAGAAGTGGACCGTCTCTTTCTTCTTCCTAGTCCCAGTGTGGAAGGTCCACTGAAACCTGTCAAGGGTGACCCTGTGGGTATTGAAAGGACCAGTGGCAAAGCTTCCAGCATCACAGCAACATCCAAGCCACACAGTCAGACACATGGACAGATGGGTAGCAGACCACCTCGCCTGATGCAAGAAAATGTCATCTTCTCCAATATGCCAGTGGGTGGGCATGTCTGTGTGATAGAATTACACTTCCACCCCTTTTTAATATATATTTTCATTTTCTAAGTTTCTAAACAATGATTATTATTTTCATGGTTTTTCTTTCCCCAAGGAAGTTACCTGATCCCCTCCCCTTACCTTGTATTCAGGCTGCAAAGATCCATTTTAAGAACTGGCACAAACAGCTCTGCAGATCACAGAGAAAACACATGTTGCGTTATCTCTGAACGCCCTAAAAACGCCTGTCTCACTGCTGATAGGACTCCTTTGAAGTACAGCACTGAAAAATATACAACCTGCTTACCCTGTGGGTTAAGGGTTGCCGTAAGTGACTTAAGAGCAGTTCCCATTCATTTTACACTAAGAACACTTCCCAGGCATCCACTTTCAAACCTTTGAGGAAATAATTTCTGTTGCTTCAGTAACTTTGAATTTCTGTAAAACACAGGATTTATCATTTGGAATTCACTGGGCTTTTTTCAGTCATCCCACCAACTACTCTGCAAGAGAAAGGGGACGCTTTCTGCTCCCACAAGATTTACAGCCTCAGAAACCCAATACAGGGTTGCAATGAGTTGGAACCAACTCCTGAGCACTTCACCACAATTTTAACAACTAGAATATTGAACATACCATGAAGTGCCAGAAGCACAAACAAATCTGTCTTGAAAAAAGTACAGCCCGAATGCACCTTAGAAAAGGGGGCGGTGAGCTTTCATCTCTTGTACTTTGAACAAGCATGCTGTCAAGAGGGGCCTGCACTCAGTCCCTGGAAAAGGGAATCATGCTGGGGAAAGTGGAGGGTCACTGAAAAAGAGGACGATGGACTGGCAAAGTGACAGAAGCAATGGGCTCAAACCCAACAGCAAATGGACAGATGGCACAGGACCAGGCAGTGTCTCAACAGCACGTAACAGCAGCAGCAACTAGAAAAATACTGAGCCAATTGGATGCGAGCTACATGTTTCACCTCTGAAATGGCATGGGGCCACACACTGTCTTTCCTACATTGACTTGTAACATGTTCTGTTGTTTTCTCCCCCACCAGCAGACACAGTCTATCGTCCCCATTCACCTGGCAGCCGAGTACTGCAAAGCCCAAAGTCTGCTCTGTTTGTTGGAGCACGGTGCTGACCCTGAAGTAAGGTAGGTGCACAGGATGGGTCATTATTTCTTTCTGAGGATATGACTGACTTAGACGTTGCTTTTTCCAGTTATGCCTGGCCTCATACCGTCTTCTCAGCTTATGGCCTACAATTGATCACATTGTGAATATACCAATTCCTTTACCTCCTACATGAAATACTCTTGAGTAGTTGGAAATAACAAAAGAACCTATTGGCTTAGCCATGTAATCAGTAGGCATCCTAGAAACGTACGAGGAGGCTTCAATCAATGTATGGGAAAATTCCGTTATTGTTGAATAACATTTTCATGCACTTTTTGAAGCCTCCTTGTATTACGTCATGGTCAGTGCCCTGAAGGAGTTTAACAATCTACGTTAGGTCTAAAAATAAGCTCCATGAAAGGAACCGTAAGTTTCTTACCACTTATGAGACCTGGTGGCACAATGGGTTACGCACTAAGCTGCTAATCACAAGGTCAGCAATTAGAACCCACCAGTCACTCACTCTGTGGGAGAAAGATGAGGCTATCTACTCCCATGAAGATTTACAGCCTTGGAAGCCACATGGGCCAGTGTGACTCCACCCTGTGAGTTGCACACGACTCCGTGGCAGCGGGTTTGATTCATATGTGCACCACAGTTCCCGCTGGGCTGCTAACAGAAAGATTGGTAGTTCGAGTTACTCCCAAAAATCAGCCATGGAAAAGCTTATGGAACATGGTTTTATTCTAACATGAGTTACAATCAAGTCGACAGCAACTAGTTATTTCTGTTTTCACCAGCTAAACTAATGCCTGGCGTGGCACTGTGGGTTAATGCACTGGATTGCAAAGTTGGTTTGAACAACAAGGTTCGCAGTTCAAGCTCACTAGCCACTCCTTGGAAACCCCATACAGTGTCTCTATGAGTCAGAACCAACTCGATGGCACTTAACAATAACAACAACAAATCAATGCCTGACAGAAGTGCCCAATAAATACTATTTGGACTTCCATGCCTCTCTAGTCCATCTGTAAGATTTCCTGAATTGTTAAAATACGGCTCATGTCTGTCTTCTGTACTGGACTGTTTTGCCAAGGCTGGGCCTACCTGCTATTGTACCACATCCCAAACACAACTGTAAACTGAACATCATCCCCTCATTTCAGCACAGCAATCTGATTTTCATCAGAAACTCTTGCTTTTTTCTGCCAAAATCAAGGCATTTAGGAGGCAGTCCTGAGAGGTTTCAGTACCCAGGTCAGAGCTGGCTTCACAAACTTCAGTATGACTCTGGGGCTCCTGAGTCAACTCCTGTCATCTGGTCTACATCCACTGAGAGCGAGTCAGGTCAAAAGGCAGATGCAGTACCTCTAAGCAAAGTGCTGTCCAGTCTATTCGGACTCATGGCGACCCCAGCTGTGTCAGAGTAGAACCGTTTGGTCCATAAGGTTTTCAATGGCTGTCTATAGATCAGCAGGTCTTTCTTCTGGGTCACCTCAGAGAGGACTTGAACCTTCAGCTTTTGGCTAGCAATTGAGTGCATGAACCATTTACACCACCCAGGGACTCTACAGAGCCACAAAGACCCAGGTGAATACGGGTTGTGGCCCTTGGTGACTCACGCTGAGGTAACAGCAGATCATATTTGAGTCAACAGCCTATTTATCAGCCCAGTGCAAAGAAAGGCAGTGGAGACACAGAAAGAGCTCACACACAGTCCTGAAGGGCCTCAAGGAGCACACGCAGGGAGCAGGCTGCTAATGGAGGCTGCAGCTCCCCTCCCCGTCACACTACCATGCTGTGCTACATGTCACCCCCCCAGTCCCCCCAAACTATGATCTCCTGAGAAACAACACAGAATGTCAGGTGTGGCTTTAAAGAGATGTTGTCTTCTTCAGCACTAATTCCTAACTCAGGGCCCTTCCGAGTGTGAACTTGGTGTAACCTGTGTCCAATACCTGTTCTAGGGACACCCGGGGCCTCACCACCCTTCACCTGATGTTGCTGCACTGGCCAATCACGTCACCCACAGAGATAAAGCCAGGGGACCGGGTCCAGAGAATCCTGACTGACATTCAAAAGAACGCGGTCATGTGTCTCCGCATCTTGTGCGAACATGGAGCTCAAGTGAACGCCCGAGTGGACAACAGCAACAGGCCCTCAGCCCTGCACCTGGCCACCACGTACGGGACCCACCTAGTTCTCTCCATTTTGGTCCAAAACGGTGCCCTGGTCAATGCTACCAATGAGTCCAGCATGACCCCCCTTCACATGGCCGCAGACGTCCTGAACAAGGAGATGGTGGAGGCGCTTGTGGCCTGTGGCGCAAACGTGAACCGAGCAGTCTCATCCACCGGGAGCACGGCCCTCAAACTGGCGGTGTGCACCGCATCCAGCAAGGCCGGTCGGCTGCTGGCAGCAGGAGTCAGCTGCATCCGTCTGCTACTCCTTCATGGAGCCCAAGTCAATGCCCAGGACCACGAAGGCCAGACAGCTATGCATGAGGCGTGTTTTGGAGGCAGAGAGGTAATAATCAATCTCTTGCTTGAATTTGAAGCAAATGTTAACATTTTAACGAGAAATGGGGAATCTCCGATTTACATGTACCTTCAGCGCAGTGCCAACCTCCGAGACGTGGCCCTTCTGGCCAGGTTACTTTACTGCTCCTATCCTCTGAGGCTGACCAACAACCAAGGAATTCTCCCTGCAGGTATCATGCTCCAAGAGTTCCACCTCTTAAGGGAAACCCTCGTAAAGCTGTCGCAAAAGCCCTTATCCCTGGAGGATATCTGTAAAAGGCACATCCGTAATATCTACGGTGAGAAACACAAGCACCACTTGAGAGGACTTCTCCCCGTGAAGATCTGGAGCTCTGTGTACAATTACTATGACTTAGTTTGCCTCTTGCAGTGAGACCACCAGGTTTCATGAGGCTATGGGCTTTCAGTAACCCACATGTGCTGGGCTACGCCAGTACACTCATCTTGTGCACTCCAAATGCACAAACTATGGATCCTTGCAGCTACTGCAAAAAACAGTAATAAAGTGATCTGACTCCTGACTTGCTTGGGTTCCTGTTATGTTAAATGCATTTTCTATGATTTCATTTCTGCCTGAAAAGCAAGCAAACTACTCTAAAACTCTTTTACCAAAGAAGTAAACATACACCCTTCTCTTTCTTGACAAGCTTTTGTGGATAAAAATTGGAATGGTCATCAGATTTTTTATTAAATGCAGAAACACACAGTAGCAACTGCTCAAAGATGTTTCAAAGTCTCTTTCTTCTATGAGTTTGAATTCCCTGTGCTAAATTTCCCTGACAATGCATCAGACAGAAACAGTTTTGCTTGTAAAGCTGCAAATAATATATGAGCCTCTATTTTTTGGTCAGCATTAAGTACACATAGTGTCGTGAATTAGTAACCAGACAACTCTAACTACCTAGAAAACAGTATTCATATTTCATAGAAAACTTTTGAATACTCAAAGATGACTTCTTTTAAATCTAAGCTGTTTTCATGTTCTAAATCTACATGTGTGACAATGAGGAAAGAAATGACAACCTCTGAAGTCAATGAATTAAGGGGTGGCATCTCCCTTGATTCGGTGAGGAAGCCCAAACCCACTGCCATCGAGCTGATGCTCCTAGCTACCCTGTAGGGCAGAGGAGGAATGCCCCTTTACGAAAGCAGACTGCCACCTCTTTCTTCTTCAGGGCAAATGGTAGGTTTAGCCACAGAGCTGCCAGGGCCCCAAGCCACCATTACTTTCAACCAGTTCTCTGCCCCACTCACCTTGAGATCCCGGTGCATGATCCCCATGTTATGTATGTAACACACACCTTCCACCACTTCTTGGAAAATTTTTGTTGCAACACTGACCATAACATAAGGACCTTGGGGGAAAAACAAACAAATAAACAAAAAATTATTTCTCTAAATTTTTACTCAAGTACATGTAAACATTAAGGCAGATTTCAGTACATGAGTATGTGATGTTACACAAGCCTGTCAGATTCTCAGCAAAGATGGTGGTGGTGGTAGGTGCTGTGGAGTCAACTCTGACACACAACAACCCCATGTGACTTTCTAAGTTGTCATTTTTAGGGGATTTGATCACTAGGACTTCCTCCCATGGAGCCACTGGGTGGGTTCAAACTACCCACTTTTCAGTGTGCAACTGAGCACTTAACTGTTGACATCACATGGCATCACTATGAGTAGAAATTGACTCAATGGCACCTGACAACAGCTTAGTGATACAGCTCCAACCTATCTCTCAAAGAGAACAAACAAGATCACCTCCGCTTATACTACCAACTCTATAACCTGGGGGATCTCAAGAACTTGAATGTGTGTGTGCATGTGTGCATGTGCATGCGAGGGTTTAAACAACGGTTCCACTTACAGGTACCCCTACAATGACTCCTCCAACACACACACATTGACATGAACAAATCCCTGTCTGGTTGGTGGAAATGCAAGTAAGATGCTGACACACTATTCAGAATAACTGCCTTCCTTTGGTCTATCTTTGAAATAACAGGTCTGATTTTAATTAGCCTAATACATGGGGAACTCAAATACATGTCTCTCCTACTTCAGACATGTTATCAGGAAGGACCAGTCTCTGGAGCAGAATGTCATGCCTGGTAAAATGGAGGGTTATTGAAAAAGAGGAAGATCACCAACAAGACAGATTGGCACAGTGGCACCACAAGGGGCTCAAGCATTACAACAACCATAAAGTTGGCACAGGACCAGGCAGTGTTTCATTCTGTTGTGCAGAAGGCTGCTCGGAGTTAGTACTGACTCAATGGCACCTGACAACAACAACACATCCAAAACACCAAAAGCTGAACCCACTGTTATCAAGTCAGTTCTGATTCCTAGTGATCCCACAGGACACAGTAGAAGTGTGCCACAGGACTTCCTAGACGATAATCTTTACAGAAGCACATGGCCACATCTTTCTACTGCAAGGTTTGAACCACCAACCTTTAGGTTAGCAGCCACACACTTAAGCACTAGGAGAGCAGGGCTCCTTTACAGCCATCCACTGGGCTGAGTCAAGGCTTGCAGTCCCTCTTCCCTCAGGGCCCTCTCTCTCTGAGCACTGTGTCTGACCTCCACAGAGTTCTGCAGTCCTCACTAGCACCCTACCAACAAGCACCCTTCCAAGCAGGCAGGCCCACACTTTACAGATGAGGATGCAGACTGCGAGGCACTTGACTTGCCCCAAACCTTACAGCTGGAACTCACACCAGAGCTGGGACTCAAACCCAGGTCTTCATTCTTGGGGCTGCTATGAATCATTACAGGCTAAAAATTAAAAGTTTTTATTTGAAATCAATGTTATGTGAACTGTACCCTTGACACTCTGCCTTCCTCGTTTGGGGAGGATGATCACGCTAGATGGTATAAACTAGAGTTCTCATCCCACAGTGCATGGACTCAATCCTTACTTTAAAATATTAGCCTACAATGATAAGATAAATGCAGGGGATAAGCGTCCAGATTTTGAGGGATGCAAATTTCTCACCACACATCTTTCCATAAAATAATTTAAGAGTTATTACCATGTTTACGGGTTAAGAAAGAAAGTACAACATGAACTGTATCTACAATTTTCTCCCTCAAAATATCCAAAGCAAACTTTGTCTGCTAAAAATGAGTACCCTGAATTCCAACATAGGATTCAATAACAAACTAGATATCTAACATTGAGAAAATTAGAGCAACTTTCAGTTGTCTGTCTTTACAAAATCTGGAAAGAGCAATTACTTATTTTTTATTTAAAAAATAACTGTTGTTTTTTATTTTTAAAATTGAAACCACCTGGAGGCAATTCCTACTTGAGGTGAAGCAGCCCTGACTCTCTGTACCAGCATGGTATGTACGGAGCCGCAGGTACTCACAAGACGACGTGTCCACGCACTCTCGGCTCCTCCTGTTCCGCTCAGTGATCCAGTCCCACAGCGAGAGCTCACACAGCTGCATCTGCATGTGCAGCATCAGGTGGTACTGCACCTGCGGGTGACACAACCAGGACTGCCATTACCTTATATACACATATACATACATATTAAATATATACATATGGAGCTCGGGTAGCATAGTGGTTACGAGTCAGGCTGCCAACCTCAAGGTCAGCAGTTCGAAACTACCAGCGGTTCCATGGGAGAAAGATGAGGCTTTCTGCTCCCGTAAAGATTTACAGCCTCAGAAACCC